GCTGAGCGGCCGGGTCACCGGCTCGGCTCCTCAGCGAAAACCTGAATATGCGTTGCATCTGCTGCCTACTTATACTCACGCTGTGATCAGCAGCAGCTGGATGCAATAATCGCATGCCAATGTGCATTGGCTCGTTTAGTTTACACTCGAAGTGGATTGGTCTCTCTAAGCGAGATCCCAATTTCGTCGGTCAGCCGACGTGACGTCTCCGTTCCCTCCTTCAGGGAACGAGGGTTACATACGTAACCGAGACGTTTTTCCTCCCAGTTTTCCAAGTGAACACAAAGTTTCTCAGAGACAGTAATACTTTTGAACATAAGAGAATGCAAAGTTTCTTGGGGGAACATAATACTTTATCGAGAGAATGCAAAAGTTTTACAAGCAGATGCAAAATATGGTGAGCTAATGCAAAGTTTACAAGCAAATGCAAAGTTTTGTGAGCGAACATTGTAGGAACGATATAGTTTTGCGAGAGGATGTAAAGTTTCTCGGGGGAACATTATACTTTAGTGAGAGAATGCAAAGGTTTTACAAGTAAATGCAAAGCTTCTCAAGGAACATAATACTTTAGCGAGAGCACACAAACGTTTTACAAGCGAATGCAAAGTTTTGAAAACAAATGCAAAGTTTTGTAAGCGAACATTGGAGGAACGCTATAATTTTGCGAGATAATGCAAGTGTTTTGTGAGAGAACAAAGTTTCTTGGGGGAACGTAATACTTTAGCGAGAGCACACAAAAGTTTTACGAGCGAATGCAAAGTTTCTCAAACAAATGTAAAGTTTTGTGAGCGAACAGATTTTATCGAAGGAATGCAATAGTTTTGCGAGATAATGCAAGTGTTTTGTGAGAGAACGTAAAGTTTCTAGGGAGAATGCAATACTTTAGCGAGAGAACACAAACACAAAGTTTTACAAACGAAAACAAAGTTTCCCAAGCATATGCAAAGTTTTGTGAGCGAACATTGGAGGAACGATATAGTTTTGTGAGAGAATGTAAAGTTTCTCGAGGGGAACATTATACTTTAGTGAGAGAATGCAAAGGTTTTACAAGTAAATGCAAAGCTTCTCAAGGAACATAATACTTTAGCGAGAGCACACAAACGTTTTACGAGCGAATGCAAAGTTTTGAAAACAAATGCAAAGTTTTGTGAGCGAACATTGGAGGAACGCTATAATTTTGCGAGATAATGCAAGTGTTTTGTGAGAGAACAAAGTTTCTTGGGGGAACGTAATACTTTAGCGAGAGCACACAAACGTTTTACGAGCGAATGCAAAGTTTCATGAACAAATGCAAAGTTTTGTGAGCGAATGCCAAGCTTCTCAGGGGAATGTAAAACTTTTGCAAGAACACTCAAAAGTTTTACGAACAAATGCAAAGTTTCGCAAACAAATGTAAAGTTTCGTGAACAAACAAATTTTATCGAAGGAATGCTATAGTTTTGCGAGATAATGCAAGTGTTTTGTGAGAGAACGTAAAGTTTCTCGGGGGAATGCAATACTTTAGCGAGAGAACACAAACACAAAGTTTTACAAACGCAAACAAAGTTTCCCAAGCATATGCAAAGTTTTGTGAGCGAACATTGGAGGAACGATATAGTTTTGCAAGAGAATGTAAAGTTTCTCGGGGAACATTATACTTTAGTGAGAGAATGCAAAGGTTTTACAAGTAAATGCAAAGCTTCTCAAGGAACATAATACTTTAGCGAGAGCACACAAACGTTTTACGAGCGAATGCAAAGTTTTGCAAACAAATGCAAAGTTTTGTGAGCGAACATTGGAGGAACGCTATAATTTTGCGAGATAATGCAAGTGTTTTGTGAGAGAACAAAGTTTCTTGGGGGAACGTAATACTTTAGCGAGAGCACACAAAAGTTTTACGAGCGAATGCAAAGTTTCTCAAACAAATGTAAAGTTTTGTGAGCGAACAGATTTTATCGAAGGAATGCAATAGTTTTGCGAGATAATGCAAGTGTTTTGTGAGAGAACGTAAAGTTTCTAGGGAGAATGCAATACTTTAGCGAGAGAACACAAACACAAAGTTTTACAAACGAAAACAAAGTTTCCCAAGCATATGCAAAGTTTTGTAAGCGAACATTGTAGGAACGATATAGTTTTGCAAGAGAATGTAAAGTTTCTCGGGGAACATTATACTTTAGTGAGAGAATGCAAAGGTTTTACAAGTAAATGCAAAGCTTCTCAAGGAACATAATACTTTAGCGAGAGCACACAAACGTTTTACAAGCGAATGCAAAGTTTTGCAAACAAATGCAAAGTTTTGTAAGCGAACATTGGAGGAACGCTATAATTTTGCGAGATAATGCAAGTGTTTTGTGAGAGAACAAAGTTTCTTGGGGGAACGTAATACTTTAGCGAGAGCACACAAACGTTTTACGAGCGAATGCAAAGTTTCATGAACAAATGCAAAGTTTTGTGAGCGAATGCCAAGCTTCTCAGGGGAATGTAAAACTTTTGCAAGAACACTCAAAAGTTTTACGAACAAATGCAAAGTTTCGCAAACAAATGTAAAGTTTCGTGAACAAACAAATTTTATCGAAGGAATGCTATAGTTTTGCGAGATAATGCAAGTGTTTTGTGAGAGAACGTAAAGTTTCTCGGGGGAATGCAATACTTTAGCGAGAGAACACAAACACAAAGTTTTACAAACGCAAACAAAGTTTCCCAAGCATATGCAAAGTTTTGTGAGCGAACATTGGAGGAACGATATAGTTTTGTGAGAGAATGTAAAGTTTCTCGAGGGGAACATTATACTTTAGTGAGAGAATGCAAAAGTTTTACAAGTAAACACAAAGTTTCTCAGGAACATAATACTTTGGCGAGAGCACACACAAGTTTTACGAGCAAATGCAAAGTTTCGTGAACAAATGCAAAGTTTTGTGAGCGAATGCTACGTTTCTCAGGGGAATGTAAAACTTTTTCAAGAGAACACAAAAGTTTTACAAGTAAATGCAAAGTTTCTCAAGGAACATAATACTTTAGCAAGAACACTCAAAAGTTTTACGAGCAAAAGCAAAGTATCGCAAACCAATGCAAAGTTTTGTGAGCAAACAAAGTTTATCGAAGGAATGCTATAGTTTTGCGAGATAATGCAAGTGTTTTGTGAGAGAATGTAAAGTTTCTCGGGAGAACGTAATACTTTAGCAAAAGAACACAAAAGTTTTACAAACGAAAGCAATGTTTTGCATGCAAATGCAAAGTTTTATGAACGAACACAAAATTTTGTGAGCAAATGCAAAGTTTTGTGAGAATGCAAAGTTTCTCGGGAATGTAATACTTTTGCAGAAGAACACAAAAGTTTATAAATAAATGCAAAGTTTCTCGGGAACGTAATACTTTTGCTGAGAACGTGAAAGTTTTATGAGCAAACAAAGTATTGCGAGCAAATGCACAGTTTCTTGGATGAGCGTAATACTTTAGCGAGAGAACACACGTTTTACAAGTAAACGCAAAGTTTCTTGGGAACATAATACTTTATCGAGAGAGTGCAAACGTTTTTACAAGTGAATGCAAAGTTTTACGAGCGAACGCAAAATTTCTCAGGGATAATTATACTTTTGCGAGAGAATGCGAAAATATTATGAGGAAACAAAGTATCATGAGCAAATGCAAAGATTTACAAGCGAACACAAAGTTTCTTGGAGGAACGCTATAGTTTTGTGAGAGAACACAAATGTTTTGTGAGAGAACGCAAAAGTTTTACAAGTAAACACAAAGTTTCTTGGGAACCTAATACTTTAACGAGAGAACACAAAAGTTTTACAAGTGAATGAAAGTTTCGCAAGCAAGTGCAGAGTTTTACGAGTGAACACAAAGTTTTTCACGGGAACGTTTGGGACCCTACGCTAACTTGTGCTGCTCTTTGATTGCGTTGATCATTATGGAAATTATCTGGCTGCCTTTGTGTTCTTTAATTCGTGTATTGTCAGTAAATCATCTGCATAATTTTACACTCCCATTGCCACTTTCATGGGATTGCGCTAAATTGCCTTGTTTAGTAATTCTGGTCCAAAGTTTCTTGGGGGAAGGCAAAACGCATTTTTCCTCCCATCACACGTCCCCTAAAGGGCCTCCGTCTCCGTATATTTCTCTACTCTTTTGTTGCAGTATTTTTCAGTTTACCTGCATGAATGGAGTGGATTGTACAGGATGAAGGAGGCATATCCGAAGATGCTCGCCTCTGTAATCCATCGTAATCAAATCAAACGCGACGGCCTCCGGAACAGCCAGCAATGTTGATATTGTCCATATTAAAGACAGTTTGATAGCAGTCCATTTGGGAAAACCAAGACCTTTGATATGACTCCTGGATGCAACGACTCTGTACCTTCAGAACAACAAACATTTCTCCTTTAGTTTTAAATAATCAGATAAGGACATTATTTGATCCCATTGATGCAGCTCTGCTGCACTCCATTATGCACTGCTCTCTATGTTGTTAGGTTTACAAAATGTTTTCATGATTTAATAAGCTGGTCTACTTCAGCGGCCTAACAGTGCTCATCAATGTCAAAATATTTGAGATGGCCAATCAAATCAAAGGAGGCAGGGCTTTTTTTCACAGAAGACTAGCACGAATTCCAGCGTGGCACTTCAGTTTTAATGGTAAAAGTGTGAGATAAGATCTAAGTAGCTAAACAATTAATATTTGACAGCTGTTTTATGCCAGAAATATAAGTAATATTCAGTAGTTTTTTGGTCAAATTTCAAAGTTTCGAATTGAAAATTATGGAATCTTGCTTCCACCATGGAGGGAAAAAATGAAGAATTAATTAATTACAGTAATTGCAACTTTTTCTTGAATCTCACAATTCAGACTTTTTTTCTTGCAATTCTGAGATTTTTTGGAGATTCTCAGAATTGCGAGGTATAAGCGTAAAATTGTGAAATATAAACATGCAATTCCAGTATTTTTCAGTTTACCTGCATGAATGGAGTGGATTGTACAGGATGAAGGAGGCATATCCGAAGATGCTCGCCTCTGTAATCCATCGTAATCAAATCAAACGCGACGGCCTCCGGAACAGCCAGCAATGTTGATATTGTCCATATTAAAGACAGTTTGATAGCAGTCCATTTGGGAAAACCAAGACCTTTGATATGACTCCTGGATGCAACGACTCTGTACCTTCAGAACAACAAACATTTCTCCTTTAGTTTTAAATAATCAGATAAGGACATTATTTGATCCCATTGATGCAGCTCTGCTGCACTCCATTATGCACTGCTCTCTATGTTGTTAGGTTTACAAAATGTTTTCATGATTTAATAAGCTGGTCTACTTCAGCGGCCTAACAGTGCTCATCAATGTCAAAATATTTGAGATGGCCAATCAAATCAAAGGAGGCAGGGCTTTTTTTCTTGTTCACAGAAGACGAATTCCAGCGTGGCACTTCAGTTTTAATGGTAAAAGTGTGAGATAAGATCTAAGTAGCTAAACAATTAATATTTGACAGCTGTTTTATGCCAGAAATATAAGTAATATTCAGTAGTTTTTTGGTCAAATTTCAAAGTTTCGAATTGAAAATTATGGAATCTTGCTTCCACCATGGAGGGAAAAAATGAAGAATTAATTAATTACAGTAATTGCAACTTTTTCTTGAATCTCACAATTCAGACTTTTTTTCTTGCAATTCTGAGATTTTTTGGAGATTCTCAGAATTGCGAGGTATAAGCGTAAAATTGTGAAATATAAACATGCAATTCTGAGAAGAAAAGTCTGAACGGTGAGAACTTGCAATTGCGAGAAAAAAAGTCAGAATTGTGATATAAAAAGTCGCAATTACCTTTATTTTTTTATTCCATGGTGGAAACGAGCTTCTATAGAAATTGGCTTTCATAGAAAATAGCCTATATTTGAATGTGAGAGACAAGAAACTTTAACAGAGCCATTTAGTCATATAATTATGTAGTCTATCTTTCTTTTTCTTTATTCCTTTTAAATTCTCTTTAGTTCCTTTAAATAAAAGGACCGTTACATTTGTAACAGCAAATCTATCAAATTTTTTTGTCCCCCCAATGTTGCAAACATGGCTGTATAAAGTAAACATATCTAAACTAAACACTCTTACCTGTCTATGCTCAGAGCGCACAGGCTCAGTACCGTTATCCCAACGGAGGTTTTCTGAATAAACGGCACCAGTTTACAGAGCAGGACACCAAATGGCCAGTCCACCGCCAGGAGCTGCAAAACACAACAAATGATTTATATCATCCTATTTTGAGTGTTTTAAATGTACAAAACAATTCAGCAAAGTTACCTTATAAACATTGATGGGTATGCCAATCAAGACGTGCAAAATGTCGCCTAAAGCCAGACTGCCGATGAGAATATAGGGTCCATTTCTCATGCATTTGTGTTCTTTGATTATTCTCAGGAGAGTCAGGTTTCCAACCATCCCGAACAGGAATACGAAACATGAGACAATGCTGTTGATGTACTTGAAGGCGTCTTTGATCCGTGCTGGTCCAGAACACATCGGGGTTTTGTTTGCTGTGGCGTTCAGTGGTTTCCATGAGATATTCTTTGCATCATCAGGAGGTTTGTCTGTTGTCTGAGCACTAATGAACCCGAGTGAACTATTAAAACACAGCAATAGCAGGACAATGACGGGCCCCTCCATGTGAAAAGACTGAGAGAAATCAGAAAGAGTGTCATTTCAAAAGTTTTGCATGAGATATTAGACAGATCCACTCCTAGTGTCTTACCTGCAGCTCTTTGTGTGTTGTAGGTGTGAGTTAGGTGTGTATATATAAGCTAGAGTTCAGTCATGGCTCTTTTACAAGCAGGTACTGCAGCACATAAATCACGCGTCTTGGCAGGATCTCAGATTCAGTGTGTCATTCAGACGCCTGCGGGTCACGACACTGAGTTTCCACTGTAATCTAGAGTCTGTGACGGCATGTGCATGCAGCACATTCACACACACATCATTGCTGCTCATTTCTCCTGACATATCGATGTCCTTCCAGATGTTCACTGGAGCTCCGCCAGAATCCACTCACTGCCACATGAATGAGATGAATGCAAGGACTGTTCACTATCTATCTATCTATCTATCTATCTATCTATCTATCTATCTATCTATCTATCTATCTTTTTACCCATCCATCTCTACATCAATCTGTCTATCCATCTAACTATTCATCCATCCATCCATCTCTATATCAATCTATCTATCCAACTATTTATCCATCCATACATACATACATACATCTATCAGTCTATATCTCCATCCATCCATCCATCGTAGTCTATATCTCCATCCATCCATCTATATCTACATCTATCTATCTAACCATCTAACCAACTATCCATCTGTCCATCTATATCTCCATCCATATCAATCTATAGATCCATCTGTCCATCTATTAATCTATATCTCCATCCATCCATTTTTACATCAATCTATCTATCCAACTATTTATCCATCCATCTATCCATCCATCTCTATATCAATCTATCTATCCAACTATTTATCCATCCATACATACATACATACATCTATCAGTCTATATCTCCATCCATCCATCCATCGTAGTCTATATCTCCATCCATCCATCTATATCTACATCTATCTATCTAACCATCTAACCAACTATCCATCTGTCCATCTATATCTCCATCCATATCAATCTATAGATCCATCTGTCCATCTATTAATCTATATCTCCATCCATCCATTTTTACATCAATCTATCTATCCAACTATTTATCCATCCATCTATCCATCCATCTCTATATCAATCTATCTATCCAACTATTTATCCATCCATCCATCTAGAAGTCTATATCTCTATCCATCAATCCATCTATCAGTCCATATCTCCATCCATCTATCCATCCTTCCATTAATCTATATTTCCATCCATCCATATCTAAATCAATCTAACATCTAACCAACTATCCAATCTATCTATCTATCTATCTATCTATATATCTGTCCATCTATCAATCTATATCTCCATCCATCCATCTCTACATCAATCTGTCTATCCAATTATTTATCCATATGGATATATATCTCCAGTCTATATCTCCATCCATCCATTAATCTATATCTCCATCCATCCATCTATATCTGCATCAATCTATCTATCCATCTGTCCATCTATCAATCTACATCTCCATCCATCCATCCATCTCTACATCAACCTGTCTATCCATTTAACTATTTAACTATTTATACATCCATCCATCCATCCATCTATATCTCCATCCATCCATTAATCTATATCTTCATCCATCCATCTATTTCTACATCAATCTATCTATCCATTTGTCCATCTATTAATCTATATCTCCATCCATCCATCCATTTCTACATCAATCTATCTATCCATCTAATTGACTATCCATCCATCCATCAGTCTATATCTCCATCCATCCATTTCTACATCAATCTATCTATCCATTTGTCCATCTATTAATCTATATCTCCATCCATCCATCTATTTCTACATCAATCTATCTATCCATTTGTCCATCTATTAATCTATATCTCCATCCATCCATCTATTTCTCTATATCTTCATCCATCCAACTATTTTTACATCAATCTATCTATCAATTTGTCCATCTATTAATCTATATCTCCATCCATCCATCTATTTCTACATCAATCTATCTATCCATCTAATTGACTATCCATCCATCTATCGAACTATATCTCCATCCATCCATATCTATTTCTACATCAATCTATCTATCCATCTAACCAACTATTCATCCATCCATCCATCTAAATCTACATCAATCTATCTATATGAATCTATCAACCCATCCATCTATCTATCTATCTATCTATCTATCTGTCTGTCTGTCTGCACAGATTATGCCTGTATCTGAATGAGTTAGGTGTGTATATATAAGCTAGAGTTCAGTCATGGCTCTTTTACAAGCAGGTACTGCAGCACATAAATCACGCGTCTTGGCAGGATCTCAGATTCAGTGTGTCATTCAGACGCCTGCGGGTCACGACACTGAGTTTCCACTGTAATCTAGAGTCTGTGACGGCATGTGCATGCAGCACATTCACACACACATCATTGCTGCTCATTTCTCCTGACATATCGATGTCCTTCCAGATGTTCACTGGAGCTCCGCCAGAATCCACTCACTGCCAGACACATGAATGAGATGAATGCAAGGACTGTTCACTATCTATCGATCGATCTATCTATCTATCTATCTATCTATCTATCTATCTATCTATCTATCTGTCTGTAAATATGCAGCACATTCACACACACATCATTGCTGCTCATTTCTCCTGACATATCGATGTCCTTCCAGATGTTCACTGGAGCTCCGCCAGAATCCACTCACTGCCAGACACTTGAATGAGATGAATGCAAGGACTGTTCACTATCTATCGATCTATCTATCTATCTATCTATCTATCTATCTATCTGTAAATCAATTTATCTATCCATCAATCCATCCATCTAGACATCAATCTGTCTATCCATCAATCTATCTATCCATTTATACATCCATCCATCTATATCTACATCAGTCCATCTATCCATCTAACTAATTGTCTATCCATTCATCTATCTATCTATCTATCTATCTATCTTTTTACCCATCCATCTCTACATCAATCTGTCTATCCATCTAACTATTCATCCATCCATCCATCTCTATATCAATCTATCTATCCAGCTATTTATCCATCCATACCTACATAAATACATCTATCAGTCTATATCTCCATCCATCCATCCATCGTAGTCTATATCTCCATCCATCCATCTATATCTACATCTATCTATCTAACCATCTAACCAACTATCCATCTGTCCATCTATATCTCCATCCATATCAATCTATAGATCCATCTGTCCATCTATTAATCTATATCTCCATCCATCCATTTTTACATCAATCTATCTATCCAACTATTTATCTAGACATCTCTATATCAATCTATCTATCTATCTATCTATCTATCTATCTATCTATCTGTCTGTCTGTCTGTCTGTAAATCAATTTATCTATCCATCTATCCATCCATCCAGACATCAATCTGTCTATCCATCCATCTATCTATCCATTTATACATACATCCATCTATATCTACATCAGTCCATCTATCCATCTAACTAATTGTCTATCCATTCATCTATCTATCTATCTATCTATCTATCTATCTATCTATCTTTTACCCATCCATCTCTACATCAATCTGTCTATCCATCTAACTATTCATCCATCTCTATATCAATCTATCTATCCAACTATTTATCCATCCATCCATACATACATAGATACATCTATCAGTCTATATCTCCATCCATCCATCCATCTTAGTCTATATCTCCATCCATCCATCTATATCTACATCAATCTATCTAACCATCTAACCAACTATTCATCTGTCCATCTATTAATCTATATCTCCATCCATCCATTTCTACATCAATCTATCTATCCAACTATTTATCCATCCATCTCTATATCAATCTATCTATCCAACTATTTATCTATCCATCCATCTATAAGTCTATATCTCTATCCATCAATCCATCTATCAGTCCATATCTCCATCCATCTATCCATCCTTCCATTAATCTATATCTCCATCCATCCATATCTAAATCAATCTAACATCTAACCAACTATCCAGTATATCTATCTATCTATCTATCTATCTATCTATCTATCTATCTATCTATCTATCTATCTGTCCATCTATCAATCTGTATCTCCATCCATCCATCCATCCATCTCTACATCAATCTGTCTATCCATCTAACTATTTAACTATTTATACATCCATCCATCCATCCATCCATCCATCTACATCTACATCAATCTATCCAATTATTTATCCATATGGATATACAGTATATCTCCAGTCTATATCTCCATCCATCCATTAATCTATATCTTCATCCATCCATCTATATCTGCATCAATCTATCTATCCATCTGTCCATCTATCAATCTACATCTCCATCCAGCCATCCATCCATCCATCTCTACATCAACCTGTCTATCCATTTAACTATTTATACATCCATCCATCCATCTATATCTCCATCCATCCATTAATCTATATCTTCATCCATCCATCTATTTCTACATCAATCTATCTATCCATCTGTCCATCTATTAATCTATATCTCCATCCATCCATCTATTTCTACATCAATCTATCTATCCATCTGTCCATCTATCCATCCATCCATCCATCCATCCATCTATCTATCCAGATTATGCCTGTATCTGAATGCCCGGGTGATTTCTGCTGTGGTGTTGTCGGAGGAGCGGCTCCATATGTTGTCTTTTGTCTCTCGTTCTCCAGCAGAGCTGCTCCTGACTCACTAGTTTACCCAGGTGAAGGGACGTGATGACAGGGTCATCGCCATGGCAACCAGCCCAGCTCAGATGGAGCGGGAATAGATGAAGCGCAGCAGGCAGGCAGACAGCTGTGCGGGTGAACTGACTACAGCATCAGTCATCATCCCAAACAAACACTCACATCAGGTTCAGACTGCTGCTGCTAGATTCTGTAGCTTTAATGGTCTTCTCAGTGACCTTCATTTAGAGCTTCTGTTAGTTTTCTAGTCTTGTTTTTATTCCTTGGCCCAAACCCAGTGACTTTTGGCACACTAATGAAGACTGAATAGGGAAAATTACTGTAACAAATATTTCTTACCCTGCATGAAAATTTTTATTTTGCATTATTATTTAAACATGCTGCCATCTTTGCTTTTGGATACACAGTTCCAGACACATTATTTTGAGCCAATCAACTGAGCCGTAAATGTCATGTGACTGATCACACTATATCAGAACTCCTTACATCAAACAGGAAAAAAACGTTAATTTTACACAGAAAAAGTCACTGACAATACATTATCTACTGTTGTTGTTGTTGCGATTTACACCAGTGTTGTTATCATTAACAAACTATTAAAATATTTTTTGTTAATCGCAATAAAGCTGAAAGAAAATAAAATATTTATATATTTTTATTTGCCATTTATACTGGCGTTATTATTAACTAGAACTATTAAAAATCATTTTTGTTAACTGAAATAAAGCTGAAATAAAAATAAAATATAAATATTAGATTTCAATTTATGTTAGACTTAAACTTAAAAAACTTAAATAAAAATTAGAAATGTTGCAAATGAAATAAAATAAGTTTTAAAATTACAAAAATACAAATATATTTAAATAGAAATATTTAAAAAACAATAACTAATAAAAAATGACAAAAGCACATAAAATGAATAAAACGCAAACTAAAATTTAAATGAACACTGACGATCTAAAAATAAAACGAAACATAATTAAATTAAATTAAATTAAAATGAAAAAACAGCTATTTGCCAAGGCAACATTTCTCATTTTCATTTAATTTAACCTGATCCAATAAAACAACAAATTTTTATCATTTTTTATTCTTTCCTTTTATTGTGATTGGATTATTTTAAATCTTTTTTTTTTTTTATGTAAAGCAGTTTGAATTAACATTGTGTATGAAATGTGCTATATAAATAAAATTGCCTTGCATTAAATAAAATTAATAAAAACTATAAAGACATTTTGTAAAAAAAAAATAATAATAATAATCCTAATAACATCATAAAAATGACAAAAACACAACAAAATAACTAAAACTTTAACTAAAATAAAATGGAAAATATAATAATCAAAAAATAATCAAAAATATAAATGAAAACAAAAAAAATATACATATAAAATAATATGGATTCCTTTTTTTGTCTTATATGCAAGAAAGAGTTGTGTTTCTCACAGAAGAAAGACAATAAGCCAGGTTTGGAAGGACATGTGGGCGTGTAAATGATTTTCATTTAAATTTTTGAGTGAACTGTTCCTTTCATTCAAGGGCAGAGCCGAAGCGTAAAGAGCAGGTTGAACCCGGCGATACCGTAAATCATGTACAGGACTGTAAACACATCCAAACACACATACTCTCAAGCAGCACCAATAAAACAGCATCTCCTTGAGCGAGTCTGAAGAGATACAGGAGAATGAGACGTGAAAACAAGCAGCGTTTCATTTGGAAAAGCCAAACTCCGCTGCTCACTTCCAGCCGGCCAATTAAAGAGTCCTAATCCATTCATTTGTAAGGATTTGCCTTCCTTCATGAGCCCTTTGTGCAGAGCTATTGACCAAAGCCCTGTACAGACATTTATTTGCAAAGGACTATTAGATTCACAATTTAACCTGAAATACCGTACAAGCCGTTTTACTCGTGTAATGCGACTCATTTCTAAGTGAAACAGACTAATCAATGACAGCAATGTAGAGAAGGTTTCATGAAGGTTTTCATGTTTTCATGAAAAGTGGGCGTCACTTACCAGAATGGAGTCACATGATTGGAGGAGGGACTGATGACATCAGCTGAAAGGAAAAGTTGTTTCAGAGGTTCATTATTTTGATTGAACATAATGAAAATACTTATTTAATTACGTTTTATTCATTTAGCAGTTGCTTTTATCCAAAGCGATGAGGAATACAAGCAATTTATTTTTATTTCATTCATTCATTCATTATAAATAATAGCAATATTTGGAATGTTATTTATTTTTATATGTATTTTTATTAATTGCATTTATTCATTATAAATAATAACAATATTGGACTGTTATTTAATTATTTATTTATTTGTTTATTCCATTCATTTATTCATCCATTATAAATAACAACAATATTGTATTTTTTTCCATTTCATTCATAATAAATAATAACAATGTTTATATAAAATATATATTTTTTTTTCCAAAAAATACATTTTGATTTAATGAGGATTTATATATATTAAAAAAAGTGGGGGGAAAAAGGTGAAAGTTTGGAGTTCCAGGTCTTTGGGGAATTATCTGTAAAAGCAGTTTCCTCTGATTAAATTAAATTAAATTAAATTAAATTAAATTAAATTAAATTAAATTAAATTTAAATTTATACTAAATTAAATATTTATACTAAATTAAAATAAAATTAAAATTAAATTAAAATACAACATAATAAAATAAAATAAAATTAAATTAAATTAAATTAAATTAAAAAAACAAAACAAAATAAGAAATATGAAATAATTAAATTTAGCTAAATAAGCTAAACAAAACAATAAAATAAAATAAAATAAAAAGTAATAAAATAAAATAAAATGCTTTAGTAGACCACAAGGACTGATGTGGATACTGTATATTTTGCCAGACAGGAACATTCAAATCAATCGTGCATTTAATGAGCAGCTAGTGAACATGAGCTGAAACACTAAAGGTGCGGCAATTAGAAGTTAGGAAGTTCTGTGATAAATCCTTAATTTTTTTTTTTTGTTACAAAAATGCCTTTTATTTTCAAGGAGGAATGCACACCGTGGAAATGTAAGCACTTCTACAAACTCTCACTTTTACCCACAAACCACATTTTCCCATCTCCACGGTTAAGACGCCATCTGCACAAACTCGCTCCACGATTCTCCCTCGTTCTCTCAGAGAAAAGACGTGCTAATGAGATTTCATCCAAATCGCTCATCTTTTGTCACAACCTCGCCAGCTCAGGAACATTTCGTATCTTTTCATAATACGCTCAATCACGTGGTGAGCAAATTCACTTCGAGTCGAGGTTCCCTCGCCGAGCCGCCAATTCATGAAACAAAAGAGCTCCTGAAGCTCATCTTCATCCTCCCTATACTGTAATAATGAGGCCTTTGACACCGGACCGAACACAAAACCCCCGCAGCGTCAGAAAAGCGTCACCTTCAGAGGATGAATATCATAATTATGCAATTATAATCATAGGCTGAATATTCAAAAAACAGAGTTATAATCAAAGGTCGCATATTACGATGCGACCTACATCAGATGTGACGTGCACAGGAATGCATGGCTTTAATGGTTTGTGCATTGGATTTGTGGTTGGATTCGTTGAAGTGTTAAGGTAGGCGAGTTCAAGTCCGTCCGTTAACATAATTAGCTTCCCTTCTGGAAATGTCACTGTCGTAATCTGCTTAGTGGGAGCTGGTGAATTCATCTCCATTGTAATGAAGGACAAGCACAGACAGCCAAATACGCCAGCCATCTTTACCTCCAGGGGCCAATCAACATGCTATCATCCTAATGGATTTATCCCATCCATCCTGTACATCAGCGCTGCTGCACTCGCGGGTCACGACACCGAAACACAGCCGGTCTGTGAGAAACAACAACGAGAAATGCAAACAATACAATGCAACTAAGCATATAATTATGCTAGAGCTGGAAGAGCAGAATAACTAGAGTTTTCGAGTTTTAAAAGGAAGAAACACTTCAAGGATGTTTTGTTGTTGATGCCAAAGGCCATGCATTCAATAAAACTTCTCAGGATTTTGGTGCAAATTCATGTTACTGGGTAGAAACTAGTTAAATTAGTCATAAGTCAATGTGTCAATGTGTCATAAGTCAAAACTACAAAACAAAAACATTCAGACACACAAACAATGCTCCTAAATCCTACTTATCTAATTAATTAACTAATTGCAGTGACATAATAATAATAGTAATAATATAAATAATAATATTATAGCATACTGTGATATTAGTGCATACTGTGTATTTATCAATTTAAAATAATCCAACATCCTTTGTATTACTTATTGGAAAGATAAATAGACGTGTGTATATATACACATATATATATATATATATATATACACACACAAATTTATGTAAAATAAAATAAAAAGATTTAATTAAAATTAAACAAAATAATAAAATGTAATTAAACAAAATATAAAAAAAATAAAAACAAAATAAAATAAATGCATCCTACTTAACTAAGTAAATAATTAATTGCAGTGACATAATAATAATAATAATAATAATAATAATGCATACTGTGATAGTAAATATTATTATTAGACAACATTTATGTGAAATTAAAAAAAATAATAATACAATTAAATTAAAATTAAACAAAACAACACTAAATAAAATAAATACATCATACTCATCTAATTAATTAATTAATTGCATTGACAACAACAAAAACAATAATAAAATACTTACTGTGATAGTCTAGTTATCTATTAAAATATATCCAACATCGTTTTTATTACTACTGTAAAGATAAATCACAGTATATGTTAATATTATGTTGTTACTGCAATTAGCTCATTAATTAGAAAAGACTTACTAAAAAAATATATATTATATATTTGCCTTTATAAATCACAGTTGGTGCCTTACTTTTGGCATAAGAAGAAATCCATGAATTTACGATTGTGTTTATTTTATAAATGAAGCCCCGGAATCGTCGGTTTCTCATGTTAATAATTTTGCATGTCCACAGTTTGTAGGTAAAATAGATTTTTGATTGATTGTTGGATTGACATTTTGTTAGATTTACATGCGCTTTTACACTTTATTTCGGTATGCTTTGCATTCATTTCGGTAGGCTACTATGAGTAAAAATTGAGTTCTAAAGCAAACCCAGTTGAGACTGTCAGCACGCAATGTGATTCTGGAAATAATATTGCATCTTTTTTTATTCCAATCAGACTTTGAATAGACTAATCTTGTGAATGTCCAGACCCTGACTGAGTTACAGCTGCGGGGCTGTTGATCTATATCGTCTGAAGGGTGAATCTCAGCGCTTTGAAGGTTCATGCAGACCTTCAGCCACACGTTCACGTCCTTCCAACCTGTTCCTCTGGCCTTGAGAAGCTCCATCGGTTCACATTCAACATTCACTCCAGACTCCAGGACGCAGAGTAAGCTGCTGCGGGGAAAGTGCATAATCCAATTTGTCCTAAACATGAGACATTCTTTATATGAAGGGCTTTAAAATAACTGCTAAACTACTATTCTGCGCTAAACTTCAGAGTTCAGTGAACGAGCGCCGCCAAACAGACAACAATTGTGTTGTATGTAGAATTTTAAACATACAAGTCAGTGTATTTTATGATAGCAGATAGCAGTAATGGAGTAATCAAAATATAATGCAATTAATCTGTGCTCTTGGCACAAAAATGGGGTATGCAGTAAATGCAGTGCATAGGGGCGCCGCACATAGGGGGCATAATTTTGCCGAAATCATTCTGTGAAAATCTTCTAATAAAACGTTATAAATAATCAAACACTTAGTTGTTAAAAATAATGTAATGAAACATTTTTATTCAACGTTTTTTTTAGCATTTTTAATGAGTTACAAAATTAATTATTATAAACGGAGTACATATAAACCGCTCACCCTTCGACACATTACTGTCACAGACAGAGTCACATGACCAAAATGAATAAAGGAGGGAATGTTCTGGGGCAAATAAGTGATTAAACTTACTATCAGTTCATTCCTGAGTATCTCTGTTGCTCCAAAAATGAAGTCGCGATATGTTTGTGAATGGACGTTTGATTTACATTTGAGAGAAACTGAGAAGATTGTTAAGGACACAGACTAGCCTCCTTTAGCCAAAAATTGCCGTTTTGAATTCAAACTGGGACATTTGTGCGATTTAAGTAGATCTGATGAGTTTTTTGAAAACTCTTGCTACTTCATACTTCAGTGCAAAACAATGCTTTGACAAAAAAGTGATTTTTAAATGTTATAATAGTGATTTTATAATGTCTAAATATAAATCCAAAAGCAAAACATGTGAAAAGAGTATATTATATTACATATATTACGGAGTGGAAATGGTCAGTGAGACAATGAATGATCCTCTGTGCTGGTATCGGATCAGTATCGGTATCGGATCTGAAAAAATGGTATCGTGCATCCGTAGTTTGCACTTATTCTTTGCACATAATAAAACTAAGAATTCTTTACAGTGCTTGTATATTGTTGTTTTACTGCATATGATCATTCATACTTAGCAGAACTAAAATGACATTCATTACAAGATGCTTAGTTAAAACATTTCAAAACGCACCTGCAGACTATATTTCCAGTCATGTATTTCATCACTGAGGATTTCTTAAAAATGCTGTATAAAAATTTTGTCTCATCACACCCCTAATTGTAAGTTAGCTTTGAATATCTCTGCGACAGAAGACGAGAAGCATTCTTTGTATGTGGCTCTGCCTAAGACATATTTGGGTGATCCTGTTCTTGTCGGTGATGTCTGTACTGATGTGTCACGTGTTTGTGATTTGGAGTAAGCATGGAGATTGGCATTTTATATATACCATGGAATGAAGAAAAGAGTATCTGTTGTGATTCTGTGGAACTATGGGCAGAGAGGCAGTGTATTCCCGCAAATAAACTTGAGCTTATCTGGAACTCCTACGGTTGGTCAGCAGATGATTTCCAGTGTTTTCCCCTCCATGCATGAAACACCAGGCTGATTTCCAGTAAGGATGTGGTGGGAGATCTGCTCTCAGGTTCAGGCGTGTCAAAGGCTCGTTCATTGCGAGCGCATGCAGGAGCAACAGCTGTTACAAGGAGCCCAGGTGACGCATGAACATCTGCCCACATCACAGACCTGAAGAAGCTGAGCCAGTGTCAAAACAAACAGCACACAGCTGCTTCCATCAGCAATCAGAGGCTGAACTCTGTAAGAACTGGATTCATTTCTGGAGAAACTGAGCGTGGTGTTTGTCTGTTCATAACTCAGTTTCCGAACCTTTCTTCTCGTCCTTCGAGCTTCTGGTCTGTAGATGTGGCTTGGGTTCCTCTTTCAATTTGTGTCTGTGGGCTTTTGAGTTTTTACCTGTTTTATAGTCCAGCAGGTGGAAAAATGGTGCATCTGATCACTTTCTCTAGTGTTATTACAATTAACTAAAGCTAAAACCATAAAAAAATGTTCCTTGAAATACAATAAATGTTAACTGAAATAAAATTAAATATTGAAAATTATTAAACTAAATGACAATGTGCATTTTATCACTTTCTCCTCAAGACAAGGGTTATTATAGTTAACTGAAACTAAAAATAAAACTAAAACCATAAGAAATTAAAACAAAATATTACATGAAATGTTACAAATCGTATAGCTTAACTTGATGTACTAAAATAACTAATAAAAAATATACAGACATACTTGATGTACTAAAACTTTAACTTAAAATGAAAAAGGAAAATATAAAAATTAAAAACCAATTCAAAACATTAATAAAATTAACTTAAATTTGTATAATTTAAGTTACCTTCATTATTTTGTGTTGGGACTATATCCTCCCTATATGATAATGAACGTAACAGTTTTTAACATGCCATTTTTACGTATTATCTGACAGAGGAAGGTCAGTCTTTTAAAATAGCTTCTATAACCCCAATTCTTAAAAAACCTGGTGCAGACCCTAACAATTTAGATAATTCTGTCCCATTTCAAATCTTCCTTTTATTTCGAAAATTCTTGAAAAAGCAGTTGCAGCACAAGTCCAAGCTCACCTTAGTAATAATAACTTATATGAGTGTTTTCAGTCAGGATTTCGTCCCAAGCATAGAACCGAAACTGCCTCGGTGAGAGTAACAAATGATCTTTTAATGGCTGCTGATGGTGGGTCCTTATCCATTCTCGTTTTGCTTGATTTGAGTTCAGCTTTTGATACCATTTCACACAATATTTTGTTAAACCGTTTATCTGCTATTGGTATCTCTGGTATTCCTCTCGCCTGGTTTACTTCATAACATTTTCTGTTAGCTGTGGCGTCCCCCAAGGTTCTGTCCTAGGTCCTCTGTTGTTCCTAATCTATCTTCTCCCACTTGGTAATATCTTTTCTAAATTTGGTATTAAATTTCACTGTTACGCTGATGATACACAACTTTATGTATCTACTAAGCCTGATTCCATTCTTCCACCTATCTGCCTTATTAACTGTCTTCACGAAATAGAAACCTGGTTCTCCACCAGTTTTCTTAAACTTAATGGCAATAAGACTGAAGTACTCCTTGTAGGCACTAACTCTATTCTCTCTAGGTCCTGTAGTTTTTCTTTATCCATTGATGGTTCCTCCGTTTCTCCTTCTCGCCAGGTTAAGAACTTGGGGGTCATCTTTGACAGCACTCTTTCATTTGAAGCTCACATTAATAGTATAACCCGGTCTTGTTACTTTCATCTCCGTAATATTGCTCACCTTCGTTCATCTCTCACTCCACACAGTACTGCCATTCTAGTTCACTCACTTGTCACCTCTCGCATCAACTACTGTAATTATCTTTCATTTGGTTTACCACACAAGCTTCTCCATAAACTCCAGTTGATTCAGAATTCAGCTGCTCGTATCATAACCCGGACTCCATCTATACAACACATTACTCCATCTCTTAAACAGCTTCATTGGCTTCCCATCAAATTTCGCATTGAATTTAAAATTCTTCTTCTCACGTATAAAGCTCCATAACCTCGCTCCAACTTACCTCTCAGATCTTATTCAGCCCTACACCCCTTCTCGAACCCTTCGTTCTTCCTCACTGGGTCTTCTCCATACACCCACGGCTCGTTTAACCACCATGGGTCATAGAGCCTTTAGCCGTGCTGCTCCTCGCCTTTGGAATTCTCTCCCAGCTAACATCCGCAACTTAGATTCGTTATCCCAATTCAAAGCTAAACTCAAAACTCACTTATTCAGAATAGCTTATCCTACATGATTACTGTCTACACTCAAATCTTTAATAGTTTTTTTTTAAACTGCTCCTTTTCTTTTTATGGTTCATTGATATTGCTATTTATTGTTGTTTTATTTATTGTTCATGATGTACGGTGACCTTGAGTGATTTGAAAGGCGCCTTAAAATGTATTATTATTAATCTATTAAAGGGATGTTTATCTGCTTACCCCCAGGGCATCCAAGATGTAGGTGACTTTGTTTCTTCAGTAGAACACAAAAGAAGATTTTTAACTCCAACCGTTGCAGTCAGAGCGCGTACACACCTCACGCACCGGATGCCGTGCGCGAGCCCAAAGACAGTTGGACATAGTGGTGTATTAGAGGTAAAATATGATATAAATACTGTTCGGTTTCTGGCACAACTTGGATGCCCTGGGGGTAAGCAGATAAACATCAAATTTTCATTTTTGGATGAACTATCCCTTTAAGTTGGTTCAACAAAACATTTAAGACAGTTGTACTGTAATTGCATGGAAACATTTTCCTACTTTGAGCATATGATTGGCTGAATCGTTCATGTCTTTAATACTTAGTGTTTCATCACATCTCTAATACTATTATGAGCAATAACAGTAAACATGACTACTAATAAAATCCCAAAGAAATATCTATATAATGCTGCCTTCTGCTGTAAATATATATTATCTGATGGATTCACATCAGCATGAAGACTATTACTCAAACTGAATGCAGAAACATGCACATTTTTAACAAAATATTTTACGTTTTCTATCCTGTTTGCTCTTCACGCACGTTTAATGAGCTCTGCTTTACAGAATTATTAGATACATAAATCAGCATCAGGTACTATAAGGCATTATTGCAGTTAAACGGTAGAAATGAAAGGCGTTCAGAAAGTGTCGAAGTTCTTTTTGCTGCTTCTCTTCGGCTGTGAGGTTGAAGGGCAGAGAGTTGAGCTCTTACTGAAGCAAGGGAAATGCCGTTCCCATAATGCACCGGAAAATGAAGATTTATGTTAGCCCTAAAGCTGCACCATTCAAAAAAATGGATATAAAATAAAAAAAAGAGCAATTTTTTTTTTTATAAAGGTCTTAATGTTTAATGGGCTAAATACCATTTCCACGTTGTAAAGCTTCATGCCTTTCTTCAAATTGCACTTGGAGAATTTGTGAATCCTTGTGTGCATTTATTTAGAAAAACTATGAGAATAAATCGCCCGCACGTCAGGCAAAACGTGCAATAAATCTCCAGCTTCAGTTCAGCTCAGTTTGCATTAATTCAACAGTACAAAACAGAAAAGGGTAATTTGTGTCAAACAGGAAGTCAATGCTATATAAAACTTATAGATGCATGTATAAAAAGCTTGAAAAGTAAGGATGTATTTGACAGAAGATGAACTAAACCCCCAAAATGCAACTGAAGCTACCAGAATGAAGGAAGAAAATGAGGAAATGCATTAGTCTGATGCATACAGGGGAGCTTCAAGAAATAATTCAGCCTAACATGATAATTATGCTATTTACTCACCCTCATGTCACTCCAAACCTGCATGGACGTTTACAAAGATATTACAGCTTATGGTCAGTCATATGGACGTTGTATGGGGTTTTTATGGTGCTTTTTTGGAGCTTGACGGACTATAAACATGCATGTAAAAGAGCAGCATGAAGACTCCTCTTTGGTGTTTATCAGAAGAAAAAAAAATGATAGCATGCAGGTTTTAAAAGAATAATCCAATTCGTCATCATTTATTCACCCCTGATGTTGTTCTAAACCTGTTTGACTTTCTTTCTTCTGCAGAAGACAAAACCGTTTCAGTTCCCATTGACTTCCATTGTATGTTCAGCTTTTGCATTCAGGTTTGGAACCACATGAGAGTGAGCAAATGATGGCAGAACTGTAATTTTGGGGTGAACTATCTCTTTAAATGACACGAGAGTGACTAAATAATACCAGAATTCACATTTCTCAGTGAAATATTTATTTAAAAATAATAAATGTGTTATGCACATAATTTCCTTTACCTGCACAGTTACTTGCTCTCATATCAATCTAGTTCTGCTCTTTTACCCTTGAGAAATCTGCCTCAAACACACACACAGCGCCCCCTAGCGGATAATGTTTGCTAACCGTGACTGAACTCACTCCATCAGCACAGACGCAGTTTCCCGTCCTCATAGAATTTAGATCTGTACAACTTGATTTAGTATCAAAGCGAATCAGAAGAAGCAGCTCGAGCACTGCAGCGGAGCGGCTTTAGTGTGTTCAGGCCTCAGAATGGGACAGTCTTTGATTATAAAGACGGGTTTATCTCCAGAATCTTCTGCCCTCGCAGGAAGGTTTTCCGGCTCTTTCTCCCCAAGGGTAACGTGGTCTGAACTTCATCGTACACTGAGTCCAGCGCTATTTCACAGACAGCAGCAGATTTATCTGGACGGCAGGAGACAAAGAAAGATTCAACTTCTATTGCACAAATGTACTTATTTCATCTTTGATTATAAAATGGATATTTAAGGCCCTGCCAGCTAAAAGAGAACGCTCTCAGAATGTTCTAGAAAGATTCTCTCAAAGTTCTAAACAAACGTTCTTCAGTAACGTTAACGGAACGTTCGTTTAAATCTTTCTTTCATAACATCCTCAAAACAATAACATTATTTATACATCATTTTCTCTCAAAGTTATGAACATGTTTTCAGTAATGTTAGTAGAAAGTTTGTCCAAAGTTATCTGGTCTTTGATAACGTTCTCTAAACATTAGCACAAAAACATTATGATTATTAATAATTTTCTCTCGGTTATGAACAAACATTTTCCCAGTAATTTTAGCAGAACATTCGTTCAAAGTTATCTGGTCTTCAATAATGTTCTCTAAACTTTTGCACAAAAACGTTATTAATACATTGTTCGTGGAACATTTTTCTGAAACATTTTAGTTGGACGTTTGTCTAACATTTTCTAAACTTACTGTCTGCAAAATGCTAAAATGGAACATTCCCTTAATGTTTAATAACGTTCTCAAAACATTACCACAGAAACATTCTTTATATATCATATTCTCTCAAAGTTACACTACCAGTCAAAAATTTTATTGTGTAATATTGTGAAATATTTTTACTATTTAAAATAGCTGTTTTCTATGTGAATATATTATAAAATGTAATTTATTTCTGTGATCAAAGCTGAATTTTCAGCATCATTACTCCAGTCTTCAGTGTCACATGATCTTCAGAAATCATTCTAATATGCTGATTTGCTGCTCAAAAAACACAAACAAAACAGTTGAGATCTCATGATGGAACACAGACTGAACTCCAGCTTATTTGTTTGTGGTGTTTTCAGATCATCGTCGACACTTCCGTAATAAAGTACGAGGTTGCCAGATTGACAAAAATAAGCAAAACACTGGGCAGAAAATTTATCTTTTTAACAGAGAAGCTCTGATTTGGGGATTTGCACTCTTGATATCTGGCAACCGTACACATGAAAGCTCGAGTAGTAGAGGCGCGTACAGCCGTCCAACAATATTTTGTCCTTTTTTTTTCTATGAAAATTAAAATAAATTTTGGTATAGTTTTTATTTCTTAAAGGTGCTGTATGTAAGTTTTTGACTCTATTAAAGCATAAAAATACCATAATATGTTTGCAGATATTTAAGAAACATGCTAAGTTAACATATTTGTTTATCTGAAAAACAATGCTACAGTCAGTTATTCTCCTTTGAAAATGTGCATTCCGGGCCGGAATGTCGGTCTCTGTTTTGGTTTGTGAAACCCGCCCACTGCCAGTTTACCTAATTGTATTTCGGCACACCGGGTTGCCAGTTGGTGGGAAACACAGCGCTTTTCATTTCAGTCATGGAAGCTGGCAAACAAAAGGGGTCAGAGCAGGAAATATAACTTTCTGCCCATCCTAAAAACCCTCGACATCAATCCCAAAAAATGTTTATGATCAACAACGGTATAATAATAGCAGAATAAACATTGGCGATCCGTTTGAAAGATGGTTGTTGGTGTAGTCAATCTGGCAACCTGCGTGTGCATCAAGGGACCGGGTGAAAAAAATCCACTCCAATATTTTGAATTTGGACTGCAATACCTAGTTCAACCACTCGGTGTCAATCCTACATACAGCACCTTTAAGGCCATAAAAACTAGTTCTACAAAAACCTAATTCATAATTTAACAAGTAAACATTAAAGCAATACAAACTAGTTCTATATAAACCTACCAAGTAATTAATATTTAAAACAAGTTCTATCAAAAACTACCTTATAATTCACAATTTAAAGATATAATTAAAAAAAAATGTTAAAGCAATAAAAAAAAATTAACCATGACAAATTGAGAATGTTACAAACATGATTCGAGGATAACTGAGTAGTCCACAAAATATGTTTTTTTGAAGAATTGTGTGGTTAGTGGTT